ACTTTTTACTAGGCAGCTGTCTTGTCCCAGAGGGCGGGATCTAGCCTGTGGCACTGATTTAAAAACACCTGTCTCTGGTATTTTGATGCCTTGTTAATGCAAATGGATGAAGCTGGTTCAAAACCCGGCTGGCGTCACTCCCCAGCTGGCGTCAATCGGGTGTCGTTCCGTTGGAGTCAGTGGGCCAGATCCCCAGACAGGTCTAAACCATCCCCTCCCTTGGGATCCAAATCCCCTTCAAAGTTTGGATCCAAACCCAAACTTCCCAAGCCTATAATGGGCTGAACCCAAACCGGCATCTTACGTTGCCCCCTTGTGGTAGAGGAGAGCCAGGATTGGGTTGGGATGCGAATAAAGGGAATTTTCTGGGGGGGTTGGTGGGGTTGCGTAAAGCAGCCGGGAGAAGGGATCTGCCGAGAACACCATTACAGCCAAATCCCGTCTCTTCTGTCCGGTGCGGGATCACACAGAGCGGAGCAGCTCTCCGGGTCTGAGTTCAGTTCAAGTCCAGCTGCACTTCTTGGAGATCAGCTAGCAGGCGGGAGGACGTCGGTTAGAGCTGGTCGGGGGAATTTTTTGACTGAACATTTTTGCTGATCTATCAAAACCAAAACTCTCTGGGGCAACGTCGGTTTCGGTAAAACTTGAGTCAGGAATTCCCGAGGTGAGACAGCTCCACCGCAGAGTTGTCACCAGCTTGATGGTTAGTCCACTTATTTGGGGATCTAGGTGATGCGGGGTCAAGTCCCTTGCTCCAGTGGCCAAGCTCAAGAGAGAGTTTAGATTCGGTAAAAGAGGGAAGATTCAGAGATTTATTATTATTATTATTTTAAGGCCAGCACAGACTGTTAGAGGAGAACCTTGAATCCTGGGTTTCTCCATATCCCAAGTGACTATTCTAACCGCGGGGCTGGCCCAGTGGGTCCGTGGGCTGTCGCCCTTGTGTAGCTTCATAACAGATTTTGAAAGCTCTTGGTTTGGTTTGGTTTTCCGATGTGGAATGCAAAGAAATTTCCAAGCCTCTCAATGTTTTGTGAAAAGGGGCTTGTGTTTTTGCAGCCGGCCTTGCTACCGGTATAACAATAGCGGTTCACAAAATCAAACCACACACGCACACGCGCACACACACTCCCAACCAACATGTTTATACGGGCACAAAACGTGCCCGTAGACAGATGGCCTTGAAAAGGTGACGTGAGCATAACCTGCTGCAGGAGCAGCTGCTTGAGTTTGCAGAGAGCCTGGGACAATTGCGCTGCAGGGTGGGATCTGCCCCGGCTCCACGGGAGCTCACTCAGAGGCCCAGCAATGCCAGTCCTTTAATGTGGAGGGGATGAACAAGTCCACTTGCCCGTTAAAGCAGGTGGGAGAGGATCAGGTTAGCAGCTGGGAGCAACAGTTCATTCTGGCACCACCAGAGGGTGGGTTTATCACCACGTCCCCACCCCTGGGGTATTCCCTGAGGACCCAGGGTTTTCAGTGCTTCGACTAAAACGAAAGCTCTTACCTGTCTGCTTCCGACTGGCTGTTCATAACCAGAGCCTCACGGTGTCCTCTGTGTCTGGGGAGCTCAGCGCTCAAAGACGCGGCTTCTAAAGCCATAACCCCTGACCAAGAAGGAGCCCAGGCCAAGATAAATCTTAGATGCTGGAAACCAGGAAAGATTCATAGATTTTTAGGGCCACCCGGCCACCATTAGGTCTTCTAGTTTGACCTCCCGTATAACACACCTCTGTCTCAGTAAGGTACCAGTAAGGGCGCCTCACAGTCCCCCCCGATACAGATGGGGAAACCGAGGCACGGATCCACAAAGGCATTAAGACTCCCCGTGCCCATTGATGTCAGTGCATAAAAATTCTTGAGGATCTGGGCCTAGGGGACTTGCCCATGGAGTCTGTAGCAGAGGAGGGACTTGAACCCCCGTCTTGCAGCTTCTTGCCCAGTTGCTGCACTGTCTTTTCTCCCCCACGATTGCCCCCAGTGCATTGAGCGCAATGGCTTGTGTAAGGTGGGACCGGCGTGCCATACCGCCACCAGCAGGCTGGATCCCAGCCCTGCCCTTCCTGAGCTAACGTTTCTGCGTCTCCTCCACAGCCAAGTACCCTGAGATCAAGAAGCTAATGGGTCCAGATCCCCAGCTGAAGTGGGTGGTGTCCCTGATGGTGCTGACCCAGCTGGTGGCCTGCTACTTGGTGAAGGACCTGCCTTGGAAGTGGGTCTTCTTCTGGGCTTACGCCTTCGGGGGCTGCCTCAACCACTCCATGACGCTGGCCATCCACGACATCTCCCACAACGTGGCCTTCGGCAACAAGGAGGCCAAGTGGAATCGCCTTTTCGGCATGTTCGCCAACCTGCCCATCGGGGTCCCCTACGCCACCTCCTTCAAGAAGTACCACGTCGACCACCACCGCTACCTGGCCGGGGACGGGCTCGACGTGGACGTCCCCACGGCCTTCGAGGGACGGTTCTTCCACTCGCCGCCCCGCAAGATCCTCTGGCTTTTCCTGCAGCCCGTCTTCTACATCCTGCGGCCCCTCTACGTCAACCCCAAGCCCTTCACCGGCCTGGAGGTGATCAACGTCGCCGTGCAGCTGGCTTACGACCTCTTGATCTACTCCTTGTGGGGGCCCAAGCCCGTCTTCTACATGATCGCCGGCTCCACGCTGGCCATGGGGATCCACCCCATCTCCGGACACTTCATCGCTGAGCACTACATGTATCTCAAGGGCTACGACACCTTCTCCTACTACGGCCCCTTGAACTGGCTGACCTTCAACGTGGGTTATCACATGGAGCACCACGATTTCCCCAGCATCCCGGGCAGCAGGCTGCCGCTGGTAAGAATCTCCCTGCCTGCAAGCGTGGGGCTGGAAGGGGCAGAAGCCCTGGGAAAGTGGGCGGAGCCCAGCGGGGAACCCAAAGACCCGCCCCTTAAAATGGGGAGGGGCCACGGAGCCTGGCAATCAAGTGAATACGGGTGAGGTTGGGGTCAGTGCTTTAATTTGTAATGAAAGAGGCACTGGGGCTTAAGCAATGTTTTTAACATTCAGAACGAATGCGGCAAGCCTGGAGGTGCCGGGGCTATGAACTGCCAAGTCTAGCGGTGCTGGGAATCAGCCCCGGCACAAGTTAAGCGCTGGGTGGGGTGGGTCTGGATATGGATTGACATCCCCCAAGCCGGCACAGCCCAGATCCCAGTGGGGCGAGCTCGCCCCTCCGACTCCCAGCGCGCCCAGGTAGGAAAGCAAACGTTGCTATCCGTGTGGGAACAGAGGCTCTTGGAGGGGGTCCTGGGTTGGGGTAGAAAAGTTCTTGGTTTGGGGGCTGTCTGTGTAGGGGAAGGCTTCTGGGAATCAGGCGCCCCGGGTTCTTTTTCCAGCTTTGCAAAGGGTGTGGGATCTAGTGAGTTAGAGGTGGCTCCTGATGCTGTGTGGGCTAGTGGTTAGAGCAGGGAAGCCAGGCCTATGCCCGGCTCTGCGCTACCATGGGCAAGTGTAAAGCGCATGGCCTCATCTCTAGGGCGCTTCCTCAGGCCTTGCATCGTGAGGGACTTTGCCTCCCCGCCATGCTGTCCAGTCCCGGCCCATGTCTTCTCCTCACTCCTCTTGGGTCTTGGCCCTCTGGCCAAGTCCTGGAACAATTTACTGCTCTTCTGGGGTGCTCAGAGTCCCAGCTGATGTGCACAAAAGGGCCTTCTCCCCTCCTGGTCACCTTCCACCCCCTTGGGCTTCTCTTCAACTCCCCCTCCCCTTGTAGGACTTCTCTCAGGGCAGTGTCATTGCTCCCATTTTATAGCTGGGGAAACTGAGGCACCAAGAGGGGACAGCCACTTGCCCAAGGTCACTGGTAGAGCTGGGAACAGAAGCCAGATCTCCTGAGTGCCAGGTGACTGCTCTACCCACTAGGCCATACTGCTGCTCACATAGCAGCCCCCTCCCTCCTCAACTTGGCTGGCCTCCGTAGGGTGGATTCCACCCCTGTGCTGGTGCTGTTGGGAGGATTTAAGTGGTACCGTGTTGTCCTCCAGTGGGGAAGACATGCTACTGCACTCTGGTGTTTTGCATCTTCAGAGGCTGCAGACTGCAATCCAGAGGCTCTCAAACAAGGGGCGTGAGCACCTTCCCTTTCTGTATGGATAAAGGGGGCCACGAAGGTGCGGCAGGGAATCCTGAAATTCATGGGGGATGCCCTGAAACTTTTTTCCCACTGTACTATGTGATTGGCATGGAAAAGGCTGATATAACTTCCGTCCCGCCCAGCCTTAAATCCTGTTATGTAAGAATGACGGTTTCAAGGGTCACCTCTTGCAATCAGATCTCGAAACTGACTTTCCTTCATGGGACAAATGGCTGTGAGATACAGCAGGGCCAGATGATTGCATTAAGGAAGGATGAGGCAGTGGTTAAGGCACTTGTCCGGTTCTCAGAAGACCTAGGTTCAATCTCTTGTGACCTTGGGCGAGTATCTTATTCTCTCTGTACCTCCATTCCCTGAGCGTAAAATGGGGAAAACAGATGAGTGCGGGTTACAGCTGCTCCACTGAGGATCGGAGCTATTTCAGCCCCAAGTACAGATCCTTGGTTTTTTTAGCTCTGTCAATCCCCTGGTATGTCTGGCAAGGCAGAAGTGATGACAGTAGCACCTCACCTAAGGTAAATATATTATGGTAATTAGGGACAGATGAGTACGATCATGCCTCTTGGCCCTAGCAGCCAGCCAAAAATGTGGGTCCTCCAGGTTTTTCCAGGTAGTAAGAGAAATCAATGATAAAGTCAGGTACCTTTGAGGATGTCTTGTTTTATTTGCAAGGGATGTGAAATATCCTGTTTCCCTGAATCCAGCAGGAGCCAAGCAACAGGAGACAGGTTCCTTGCCCACAGCCCCAAGCCTCTTTCCAGACAGTACAGTGCCCAAAAGCTCTCTCTCTAGGCCATACACTATGCTTGTCCAGGCTGTGTCTAGAGCATCTGTCTTTCTGCATGCATCTCTGCTTGGCTTCCCCCGCCCCCCACTTGTATTCAAGCAATATCAAATTAAACCCTCTTCCCCACAGAGTTCAAATTCATGCATGGCCTTGGATGTGCCTTTGTTCTGGGCAGAGATTGGCGTTATTTCATAAAGGGAGCCTAACTGCTTCTACAAAAACAACAAGGAGTCTGGTGGCACCTTAAAGACTAACAGATTTATTTGGGCATAAGCTTTCGTGAGTAA